TTAAGATGATAAACAGTCTGAGGAATTCTGCTAAGGAAAAGAGACCCTCTTCAAAGTCAAAGGGGGAGGCACTAACTCATCCTTTGATTCTTACAGATGCTAAGGGAAGGGTGAGAACATGTGGGAGATAGAATTACTTTACCTGAGATTTGAGAGATGTGAAGATTGGAATGGAAAGGAAGTTGGGAAAGATTGGAGGGTCGGGTCCCTGGAAGCAGTGACACTGGAGACACTGGAGTAGAGAGGACAAAAGAAGAAAAAAGGAGCGCAGGGTGATGGGAAAGAGACCATAATGGTCCATCAGAATGTGCCATGTGGTTCTCCTGTGCACTTCCCACAAAATATTTGGTAGAGCTTTTATTACTCAGTAATGCTTTACAGAGTTTGATTTCCTTCTTTGGAAGGTGCAAAAAAAAAAAAATGGGTGGATTAAAAGAGAACATCCACATAGAATCCTTCACCGTGGGGATCACACCTGTATCCTCAAGTAGTCAGCCTGTGGCAAGAGGCTTTTATTTTCCTGGGACTCTGGAGTGTGGCATGTCATAGCCCCACAATAAATAGCTGTGGAATGAACATAGTTATGCACTGTCTGTAAAAGCAGGAGGCCAGTGAGCATTTGCTCCCTGCCACCTCCAGTCTTCCTCCACTTCCCCAGGAACATGGATGACTTTAAGATCAACCAGAGCTTTAGGCAAAGGTTCAGCTGGATTTGTTCATTTCCTTCTGATCTGCTTTGACTGTCCCTGGTCAGGATTGCAGCCAGCCTGAAACAAACACACAACCGAAGAGAAAAAAAAAACAGAAGAATAAAATAACAGCAACATGTTCCTCTAAAGCCCTGTCTAGTGCTGATAGAGCTGACCAGATAAGAGGAAATCGTATTTAAGCAATAAGAAGGCTTTGTTCATGTTGGCAAATTCTCTGACCATGCATGCCTTCGATGCAGAGATAAGACCCCCAGCCTGTGCTCAGAGATGTGCTTGGCCACAGTCTGCTGGGAGACCAGCAGCTAAGAACACAAGGGGAAAGCATTCCAAAATGATACATGTCGAATTGCTGGCCTGGATTTCAAATGCCATAGATAGTTTATGCAAAGTCTAGCACTGTTGTAAAGTGTAACAGAATCCACTGGCAGCTCTGCCAAAGCCCAGTCCCAGTTGTTTTTTAGAAAAATAAATAAACTTGAAGACGTCTTCCAACCCATTAAAGTGGCTGTGTTTTTATCCTTAGCCTTCTCGGTATGAGGCTTCTAGAGATTTGAACTGAATCTGCGCCCAGTTCCTAGACAATGGGAGAGTTGACTCTTGGCATCTTAATGCCCCTTAGTAAGTTGTCTCTGATGTTCTGGGAACTAATATTGTATCCCTAGGATCCACTGACTCCTACAGCCAGGGTGAAGGGAATTTTGGCCTTTAGTGAGTTTTAATTCTTTTGATTTTAAAAAGAACATAGAAGCTCTGTTAGAAAATGAAATATTATAAGGAAGCTCAATAACCAAAATGGAGGAGGCAGATGTTCTGGTTGTAACTGTAGAGTGGAAACTACAGAGACTGCCTCGAATTCTGACTCTCATTCAACATCTCCATGGACCCTATGATCCATGGAGATATCTTGAAAATCTCTGACTAATCCAACTTTCAAACATACACAATGAACTGAAATCCAACTTGCCCATATTATGCCTCAAAGTTTGAGCAAGCATGAACCAGAACCATAGCTCCCTAATCAAAAGCCAGCTCACTACTTCCCAGGAACTTCCTGTGAATGTTTGGTGATGTTCCACAATTGGCTAAGCAATTCATCTTCCTCTCTTGGAGGCATTGAAAAATGAATTGATGAAGATGTGAAAATACAGGGAAACTGGGTGAAGGTTTATGAAGTTTTCTGTATTTTTTTTTTTGCAACTTTACTCTAATTATAAAATTACTCCAAAAACCATTTATTCAAAAATGGAAGTACTGGTACTTGCAATTTTGATGAAGCAATATGTCTTAGTTGGAATTAATTAGTGCCACACAGTTGCAATGACAATTGTCACTTGGTGTCTTCCAAGAGCTCCTAGAAACTAGAATCTTACCAAGAAGAGATGGAGCAGAGGAAATATAAAGACTGGATACTCAGCATGTTGGTGGTTCAAAGAGCAGAAAAGTTTGGCTGTTATAGAAGGTTCAGTCCCGGTCCAGTTCATTGCAGCCTACTGTATAGGAAAACATTGTTAGGGGAGTTGATGATTTTATATCTGTTTCTAATGCCCTTATAAACCAATGGTTTAGACTTGGGGTTTGTTTCATCATCTGTTTTAAGAGGCAGGTCTTACGACTGTGTTGTCCAAACTGGCTTCAAACTCTTAGGCTCAGGTGGTCTACCCACCTCAGTCTTCAAATACCTGTGATTACAGGTATGCATTATCAGGCCTGACCTGGAGGGATTTTTTAAAATTCATAAATGACATGAAGTAATGTAAACAGAAACACCCATGTTTACCAGGTATATGCAGTACATAAGTCTATTCATTACCTGTACTTGAAAAACAATTCCAGATTTCAAGATATTTGTGTCTAGCTCTTTTTGTAAAAGAAATCGCACACTGCAGATAAAGTTAAATCTCAATTGTTCCCAATATCTAGTACCATTCTCCTTCCTTGATGTGCAGAGGCAGTTGCCACCCTAAATCTGATGTATACCTTTCTAGGGCATTCATATAAATCCCTAAGCAATATATAGTTTTCCTTTGTGTAATTTTTATAAGTGACAAAACAGTGAACTTTTACACTTACTTCTTTTTTTTTTTTTGCTTTTTATCACTCAATTCTGAATTTTTGCCATCTCTCCATGTTGTTGTCTTGGAATAAACGGTAAACATCTGGCCGAGGCTCACGCTGAACCCAGGCTTCAATACTTTAGTATCATTTCTGTATATAAATCTGATTAAATGATATTGATATTCTCTTGCCCTATGTAATTATGCCAGTTGAATATCTCATTTTATATATCTGTTTGCCAATATTTTAGTATTGTTTCTGTGTCTGAATCTACCGAAGTCCCCTCACTATTAGTTTGCCTCGTTTAATTCCATCATGTGAATATTTTACATTTTATTCATCCCTTTCCCAACAAATGAACATATAGCTTACTTCCAATCACTATATATGGGTATACTTCTACATTACTAGAGACATATATTCAAGAATAAATATTCTTGATCTTTATAAATAACTTTTCTTTTTTACTTCCTTGTCGTGTTTTCATTTGCTCATTTTGTAAGTTTGTGGGTTTGTTCAGTTGTGTCTTTGAAAACAGATTTCTCAATGAGTATTTTCATAGTTTGTGAGATCCTAAAGCTGGCTAGGTCAGCCCTACTCTTTAGATGAATAGATTATGACCTGGAGATGTGAAATGACAGGCTCCAAAGTCACAGGTAGGTTTGTTTTTTGTTTGTTTGTTTGTTCCTCATTGAGTTTATTGGCACATTTTAGGTATACAGTGCAGTTACATTCATCATTGGGATCTTGTACCTTTATGTGAC